CAGGAATATCCCAAGAGTCCTGGGGGTTCTTGGGAGGGTCTGTGGCTCTCTTGGCTGGATGTGGCCTAGGAAGCTGCCCATAAACTCAGGAAGATACAGTTTTTCTGAATTAGGCTGGAGGGAATGACCCTGACATTGTTCTCCACGACCAACCAGATGAGGGATTCAAACTGCAGCCAAGCACCCGTAGGAGCAGCTTCCCTTTCACATGGGGGCCTGGACACTGGGCAGGGTGGGGTGTGCGACGAATGCCTACAGCTACCGTTATGTCGTCATTATGGCTGCTTTGATTATGGACAGAGATTTTTTTAACGGCAGTTTTCAAAACAGTTCCTCCTTCAGGAGATAACTTAACCAAAGTGCCCCTTTTTCCCATTAACTCACAGGTCTTCGTGGGCGCTTTTACCTTTCAGCTCTGAGATCTCTTGGCCGCATAGGCCTCTGTTTTTTGTTGGGCTCAAGCACCATGTGAATTAAGGCACAGAGCACGTGGCTTACAGCTAGGTACTTTATACTCCAGTGTGAGAGGGTCACCTTCACGCCATAGAGAAGTTTGTGCATTTAAAAATGACAACATTTTGAGGTATTTGTCAGCCACACGTCATGGTTTCTGTCCAAAGTCTAGCTGCTGTCAAGGTTGACTCTTGGTCAACTGTGTGCTGGGAACTGGAAGGTAAACTTTGCAGAAGCTGTGCGCTGCTGGGAACATTGTAAGCATTCAGTAAATCTGGGTTTGAACTGATGTGGATATTATCAGGAGGTCTGCTGTGACCTGGCCTGACAGACACTGGCAGCCAAGTGGAAGTCTGTCCAGCAGTGTTGACTGGCACCAAGAACAAAGCTTCTTGTTAATTGCTTTGACAACGGTACACCTGCTCTTTCTCCCTGGGCTGGGAGCTGGGCCGGGTGTAGGGGTCAGAGAGGACTTACCGCAGGCCACAGAGGAGCTCAGGTCGGGGGAGGGATGGCACTGGAGCATGACTACAGGTGCCAAGGGGCAAGGTGTGGTATGCCCAGGGAAGTCCGGAACAGCGAGCGGGCAATCCGTCAGAATCAGAATGGGGGTGGGGGGAGTTGGGAAAGGTGTCGCTGAGGAAGGAGCGTTTGAACTGGCCTTGAGGACTGAGGAGGTTGGAAGGTAGGAAGGAAGGGAGTGGCATTCCGGGAAGAGGGAACAGCATGTGCAAAGGCACGGTGAGCAGCAGGGGTAGCGGGAACTGGAGGGCAAACTAGCAGGAGATGGGGCTGGAGAAATGCTCAGGGCCAGACAGGAGGGACTCTGAAGACTCCCCTACTGAGCCGAGGCACGGTTAGATCCTCTATGCCATAAGCATCTCAAACTTACTTGAATCTCATGTAAATAAACCGGAGCCACAGCCAGGAGAGCAGCAGCATGATCAGCATATTGGGGAAGGCGAATCCAAACCAAGAGGCGAAGTTCACGATGTCTTTGCTGTCAGGAAACAATCTGAAGGGGAAAATGCTGGTCTACATCTCTACCAGACACTGAGCTGTGGAGAGCGGGCGGGCCGGACCCTGCGGGCAGAAGCTGAGCAGCTGCCGGGCCCCGAGAGGTGGTCTGGAGCGGGGCCCCCTCCTCCTGAAGTCCAGCCACCCACACATGTCACTCAGCATTACCCCAGTCAAGCAGCGGCCCCAGAACACGGCCACGCACAAGGCAAGCCTGAGGAGCGACCAACTGCCCTTCCTGGAAGTCCACACCCCGCTGAGAAGCTCACGAAAGGCATGGCCCTTCAGTCCAGAAAAATACCCCTTTGTACACACAGAATTTGGCCAACAGCTCCAGGGGGTCCACAGATGCCTGAGAACCTCACCCCGTGGGCTTCTGCAAGGGAAGGCCCCCCCTTAGGAAATCAAATCTCAAAAGCTTCCCAGGGTGGGACCAGAAGATGTTTCCTGGGGGCTGGAGGAGGGTCACTTCCGCCCCCAACCCCAGGCGCTGCTCCCTTTAGCCCAAGGGTGTCAAACTAGCCACAGAGCTTTTCCCATTCAGCCCAGAGGAACTTCAGGGCAAACCATAAGGCTGTCATTACAGAAAACACTCGCAGGAGCAAAACAGTCTGCTTGTTGGATCTCGAGTGTCTGCAGGCCCGCCCTTCCCACCTCCCAGCTGCCCTCCTGACCCCTGTCCAGGGTGTTTGTCTGCACAGGACGGGCACCGTCGTACTTCTGTTCCTTCCCTCTGTGCCCACTGCAATTTGTACTTATCTTCATTAACACATTTACACAACCTGCCAGAACTCTCTGGGTGTCTGCTACCCTCAGCTGCCCACGAGTATCCCATGGGCAGGGCCCAGATTCCTCTCACTTCTGTGACCCAAGCCCCACCCGGCTCAAGACCAAGAACAGAACTGGGTCCTCACAGCCTGGGTCCCTTTGTGGCCAAGGCTGGAAAGTTCTAAACCTCCCCATGGTCCACCTGGAGCCTCACAGGGGCACACGTCTCTCTCAAGGGCAATTAGAGGGGCCATGGTGAAAGAGCCGGTGAGGCACCAAGTGACCTAACCTCTAACCTTTCTGGGTGTCATAGGACCATCACTATTAACAACCGAGGTCGTGAGCCAGCTTTGAGGGGAGCATCTTTAGGGGCATCTATTTTCTACAAGTTTTAACCAAGGACCCCGCTTCTCGGATTACACTGTCAATTCCCATGACTAGCTCCATGTTCAATCCACATTCCCTGTCTGAGCGAGAATCCTGAGCCCAGGAAAGAAAGGCAGGACTTGTCCTGAGCAGAAAGCAAACCGGTCTGTGGACATCAGCTCCTACTCTGGGGGGTCCTGAGCATGTGCAGGGAGGTTGGGCCACAGAGGCTGGTGGCGGCCCACCCTCTCACCCCTGCCAGGCAGCCCCCACCCCCATCCAGGCTCCAGGGCCCAGCTAAAGAGGAGGGAGAGGTGGGTGGGCCCCTCCAGCCCCATCCTCCCCCCACTATCGTCCCCAAAAGGCATGGCCAGCGACTCAACTCTTGCATCTGTCCCAGGAGCACCACGTTGGGCCCCGTGCCGGTCAGGGTGGCAGTGCCTCCGATGCTGGCTGCGTAGCACACGCACAGGGTCATGGCCTTGCATATGTTCTTCCTGTCGACCTCCCGCTGCCTCATGGAGGGACCTTCAGAATTCCCTTGGCTCCCTGTGGTGGGCACACTGCGGTGGGCACACTGGGGACCACCTGCCCAGCCCCAGCTCCGGCCCCACGTGCCCCCCCAGCTACGTCCCTCGGCAAGCCCCAGGCTCCTCAGTGCTCCGAGCAAAGTCAGCGACGTCAGACACACTCCTTTCTTTCCTGCCTCCTTGCTCTTGCTCAAGCTGTTCCCTTCACCTGGAGGGAGGGGCCCAAATCCATCCCAGATGTCCTCTCCACCTCGCAAGGCCTCTCCCTTCTCTGCGCTCCCTCAGTGTCTGGCTAATGGCAACCCTTGGCCTCCCCCAAGTCAGATAAACTCTCTGAGGGGCCTCTTGACTCCATCCCACCGGGCTGCACAATATGAGTGTGTCTGCTTCATCTCTGCAGCCCCAGGACCTGGCCCAGGGTCTGGCAATCAGGCTATCAGCACAGGCCCTGAGTGGCCCCATGCCGGGCCCTGGGGATGGGGTAGCGAACAAGACAGAGAAAAACACAGGCACTCTCTGACTCGCCTGAGCTCGGTGCCTAGCAGGGAAGCAAAGGTGGGACGACCAACCCCAGTACCTGCGGGAACAGAGTGTGGAGGGATTTGGCCTGTTCAGAGGAGGCCTCCCTGAGGATGAGTAGGGGTAGAAGGGATTGAGGGGCATCCAGTAGGTGCTCAAAAGATACCCAAATGAATGATCAACACGTATTCATTTCTGTGATGGCGGGAACGGAGGGCAGGAACTTGGTATACGCTCTACTTAAGGATCTAACTTTTATGCACTAATCACATTCCTAAAACTTAGGAAAACAGCATCTTCTAAGTATTTCTCTATGTGCCTGCTAAAAGGAGGGCTCCAGGAAGCAGGGAGGTGGCTAAAGCTGTTGGCAACAGAGGGGAAGGCTGCCCTGGCCAGGGCCTCACCTGGCAGCTCGCCGGCCTTGCCCTCGTCTGCCAGCTCCAGAGCCCCGAGGCTGGCCTCGGTGGCTGCGCTCATGGCCTCCATCTGCCGCAGCACAGCCTCCACAAGGGGCACCATCATGGCCGTGGTGGCCGTGTTGCTGATCCACATGGAGAGGAAGGCCGTGGCGCCCATAAAGCCCAGCATCAGCCTGCAGAGGAGGGGCAGGGAGGAGAGCCGGAGAACCCGCAGCCCCGCCCCTCACCACCCCTAGGGAGCAGCGGGGGGCTAGGCGCCCGCTGCAGGGATGCCAGGGGCCAGGGCCAAGGTGCTGAGGCCAGTTCAAGATTGGGTATCCAGGAGGGGATTGCAGTTTTAGTGCCTGCCTGCCTGCCTCCCTCCCTTCCTTCCTCTGCCCCTCTCTCCCACAAACATTACTGACATCTACTCTGCTGGCTACCGGGTCACCGGGCGGCCTGAGCCTCAGTCGTGGTCCTAAGGCGCTCACCATCTAGCAAGGGAAGCGCCAGCATCCAGTTTGTGCGGACCCAGTGTGGAGAGTTGGCCCTAATATGACTTAGGGGTGCGCTGGAGCAGCCCTGTGTGCAGGCAGACCAAACTTCCCACTTCTATCTAGAAGATTCCCACCCACCCTGACCCCACTTCTCCCCTCATGTGTTCAGAAGGGCTGCGTGGAGTCAGCCTTCAGGGGCAGGATGAGCTGGGGAGGGCCCTGGGAAGTGGGACCCCCTTCATGGCTGATCCCCTGCCCCACCTCCCTCCATTCACACTCTGCTGCCCTCCGCTCTGCAGTGGACCAGATCCCCAAACAGTATTCAGGAAACGTTCCCTTTCCGTGTAACACCCCACCTTCCACCTCTGTGCCACCTGTGTCATCTGCCTAGAAAACTCTCTCAAAGCCTTCAGGCAGCATCCCTTCTCTGTCACCTCCTTCCCAGTGCGCACCAGGTAGGGCTGACCACACCCTCCTCAGTCTTCTCTAGGACACTTCTCACCGGCTGGATTTGAAACTGTTTCCACGTCTGCTCTCTCCTTAGCATGTGAGCAGGGAAGGTCTGATTCCTCTCCATGGGTCCCACACACCTGGCACAAGGCCAGGAGCAGAGGAGCTTGGGAGGGGTGGTTGGCTAAATGGAACTCAACCTCTTGGTCCCCATGCCTCTCTGCAGTCAGGCTCCTCCCCAGGGCCACTGATTTGTTTGCCTGAAGAAGGGTCTCGGGGCTGCACTGCACCAGGCTTTAGCTGGTATCCATGCAGGTAGACCTCATGGACCCATAAGTACAAAGGCTGGGATCCAGGCTAGGATGAGGGTCAGAGTTCACGTGAATGAGGCTTCAACATGATGCTCCGAGGCACCAAGGGAGCCTCGACATACAGGTCGCCCCCAGCGCAGGCAGTGCCCTGGGCAGCTGGAAGCCAGGCTCGGAGGAGGAGCCAGGTGACCAGAAGGAGCAGGGAAGCGTGTGTGAGCGCCCTGGGTTTGGGAGCGAAAGCGCTCCAGCACACTCCAGAATGAGGTCCCCCGCTGATGGAGAAAAGCCAGCCACTCAGAGGATCCTGAAAACAGGAACTCTGAGGCCTCTGAGGCCTCACATTTCTAGAAATGCAGTGGCTTCTGATTTGACCCTGTAAACCAATCACTTGAGGGGCTCGGGTGACAGGTTGGAGAGTCACAAAGCCCTCACTCAAGGGAGCTGAGGCACCAAGGTGCTCGGGCGGGCCTGGGCCTCTGTGTGCTCAGAGCCCAGCATGGCCCTTGACATGAGGACGCAGCAGGAGGGATTTACTGTGAGCTACCAACCTGCCTTCCCAGGGCTGGGCTGGGTCACGCCATCATTTAGGGAGCACGTTGCCTCAAAAAAGAGGTGCATGCTGAGTTCCCAATTAGAGGGGACAAGGCCCCATCAGACAGGCCCGGTATAATCCCCCTCAGAACAGAACGTGGGTGATGGGAATAGTCCCCAACCCTCAGAGGTGCGGTGAGAGTCAGATGAGGTGGTAAATAAGCCCCCGGTATCATGCCCGGGGCCCTGTGGGCGCTCGGTACACCCAGGTGATTCTGCTATATCAACTCCACTGCTTGGTCGGAATGGCCTGTGACTGGCAGGGGAGATCTTGGAGAGGGGTGAGACGACTGAGTAATGGGGGAAAGGTGGGGTAAGCAGCAGTTTTGCAGAGGGAATAGATGTGCCAGCTTTGGAGGGATGACCTTTCTGCTTCCCCTTGAGCTGGGTAGTTGAGCCATCTCTTCCCCACC